CTACTAAAATCCTAGATCTTATCATCCGTTGAGGGGATGGTTCAGAGACACTATTAATGGGAAAATCAATTTTGAGCATTGTTATATCTACAAATCAATTTTTATTGGAAAAATAAATCTTACGCATGAATAGGAGATGATTTTAAATTTTTGAGAGAAAACAAACTCCCCAAACAATGCATTGAGGAGCTGGACCATGTCCTGAAGGTGGTATTGTGAGACCACCAAATCTTTCCCCTTGATTAATTTGTACAATCCAATAGGTGCATGAACTTTAAGGGTAGAAACGGGCTGGGCCTGGCCTGGGTCCTCCCCTTGTCCCCTATAGGGCCAACCCAAGCCCAAGCGGAAATTTGTGAACAATTTTTTAGATAATGAGAATTCGAATAACTTGGATTTCAAGGTTTACGCAACATTGTCACCAATGTTTGCAAAATGGAACTGGAATGGTTAACCGGTTATGAGGCTGGGAGCGGTTCGAACCGGAACAGAACTAACCGGTTAAGTGGATTTTTTTAAAAATAAATAGGTCAAAATCTCAAAACAAAATTAAAAACAAATATAAAAACTTAGATTTAATATGCACCATCATATTGCATATATTTATCTTATAAAAAAATTTGATACAACTTTTTATATAATTAATATTTGAATATTATGAAAATATGCAAGACAATTTATAATTTCACATAAAATTCAATGGGTGAAGTTACAAAGTCCAACTAATATTGGATAATGCAACAATATATGCTTCCATATTATTTTAATGTTGATGTTGAGAAATGTTGTTTTAATGTTGAAAAACCCTTTCATAAGGTTTAGAATATATTATTTTTTTCTCATATTCATCACAAATTTCATATTTTTATAAAAGCAAAAAGTAATTTTATTAAAAAAAAATTTGTTTTAAGAACCCTAAATCGAGCCAAAGAATACAAAAACTTTAGAGTCGAAATCAACTCCAAATCTTCCATTTTTTGAACAAATTGATATGGGGATATGATAGATACTTCAATTAAGATTCAAATGCTCCAAATTTCATGAAAACTTATTCACTATTGAGATCTCTATTAAAAAAATTATGAATTTTTTAATTCACAAAAATTTTAGGAAATAACGCAGCAAAAAAATATCGATATAAAAAAATTTAATCAATACAAAATCAAAATAACTAGTATAGTTGATAGATAAGGACTTTATGATCATTTTTCAATGATTAATTCAATAAAAATCGATTATCTGATCGATCAGAAATCAATTTGTTTGGATAAAAACAGTTCTTCGAGCAGCAGTACTTCGGGCCCAAAAAAACCTCAAATCTTCACTGTTTTGGAAAAATTAAAATATGTAAACATTGAATCCTTCAACAATCAATCAAAGCCCTCCATTTTTATGGAAATCTACGAGGTATTAAAGCTGCATTTGATAGAATGGCGGAAATTTCTAATTTTAAAAAATCCCCATTTCAATCCGCCAAGAACTCTTTGTTTTTCAACTGTTGATTCAATAATAGATAATCTATAGAAACTTTACCGTGTATAACATCAATATTTGACTGAAAAAATAAAAAAGAAAGTACAAAATGGAAGGGAAAAAAACTGCAAAATCTTGATCTATGAAAATAACGGGCTTCTGTCAAATAACGACTGTTATTTGATGCGTTATGACGACGTTATAACACACGAAAACAACAGTAAACCGGATTGGTTAGGAAAACCGGCCGGTTTTGAAGGAAAACAGCCGGTTCGACACTGAACCGGCCGGTTTTGGTTCCGATTCTTTTTAGAGTTCAGTCTTACCATGTATACCGCAAAATCGGCCCTAACCGGAATCGCCACCCCACCGGTAGCGATCTAACCGGCCAGTTTTGCGAACACTGATTGTCACACTTGTCTACCTATTGAAGTCAAGATATAGGTGCATCACTTCATTTTTCTTGGCAGAAAAGGCCTTATTGTGGATAAGCATTTGAATTTCTCTCTCTGTCTCTCTGTTTTTATTTTTTTTGACAAGACCACTAAATATTATTATTAAATTTCTGAAGCTATCATAATGACAACACTAAAACAAAGAAGTCGAAATAAACAATGAAGCAAGAAACTCTCATTGCTTAGCCAAGTCATTGGTAATTAGATTCATTTCTCTGTAAACATGGTTGAAAGTAACATTGCTCCCTAAATATAAGTCCAAAATTTTCAGCTATAATGATTGAAGACACCACAGGGGAGACACAACTTCACCAATTGATAACATTGATAGAATCCCCTTCTATGATCACAACATTCTCCAAATTTATATCCTTCCAGATCATTAAACCTTGTAACAACACGAACATTTTTGCATTATGGGCTGGAGCCTCCCCACACGGTGCAGCATAGCAAAAAATGATATTACCTTCATTATCCCTACACACACCACCCAAACTCTGCCCTCCCTGGATTACCATTAGGTGAACCATCAAAATTAAGTTTAAAGCATCCCAAAGGTGGTGCAGTCCAAATACATTGGGGTCTAACCTTAATATATTTTGAAGCCACCAAATGAAGTGTGTTATATTCAACATCGCTCCTAGATACTCCCCAGTCCTCCTTCGTAATTCGAAACCAGCTCCCAGTTTGAAACATGATTTTATTTTTTCAATTCTACCAAATCCATTGGCACCCCGTCATATGTCTTGTGGTTTCTTTCTAATCATAACTCCCACAAAATCGAACTCCTAAAGATGTTCGACAGCATACCTCGAGTCTTCGGAACCCCACATAACTTCAACAACGGCACCATAAGAAACACCGAGGCTAGTACAAGGCAATGCACCCTTACCTTCACCCTCGTTCAAGACCATAATTGTTGAGTATAGGGGTTAGCACCGCACCCTCTTCATCACTTTTGCAAAATAAGCACACATTAACATGATCTTTTCTTTTTTTCGAAGATTATCAATTGTTAAAATTTTGTTTTGAACGAGTACCCAAATAAAAGCCTGCACGTTATGGGGGATTTTCCACTTCGACACCTCGTTATTTACTCTTTATTTAAATAAAAGTTGATTCCTACGTACACGATCATGAAATAATTACTGATAGACAAATTTGACTGAAAAAACACAGCCTGTCTCAACAAAATTGGAGGTGAGTAAGAGAGATTCCATACTTTACTTGCCCGTATGAGTTATCCTGTCTCTATCCCAATGCAAATAAATATTGCACATCTCACTCTTTACTTTACTTGCCCGTATGAGTTATCCTGTCTCTATCCCAATGCAAATAAATATTGCACATCTCACTCTTTTTCTCAGACAAACCGTTCTCACTTATTATAATAAACTCTCACTTACTTAAATAACATTTACCACTTATACTAAATAGTGAATACTATATAAGCTGCCTCATTTCAATTCTAGAATAAAATAAACTCGTCTTTCTTTTAGGGGTGAGGTTTGCATAAGTTGCCCCATCTTATACTATAAAAATAAGGTATGCCTCTAAATTTTGCCGAAAGATATAATTTCAGTGTCAAATACCGTACAATGGTTTGAAACTCCATATTCAATTTTAATTATGAAATTTTAAATTTAAAAATAATACACATAAAACATAACTATAAATATTTGAAAATCTTGAAAATAAACGGTTCAAAAAACTTGTTACAAGATGTACTACTTTTAAAGCATCAAATTATCATTTGTCTTTATATCCATAATCTCGAAGTTGAGATGATGTTTTGTAAATTTAGAATACCCTTTTCTACTAGACTTTTGAGGTTCACACTCTTTCTACCGTATAAGGTTGCAACCTCACGTAAAATTTTTTATTCTTTTAGTTTTGTTTATTATCTTAATGAATTTCGCACTTGCTAAAAATAAAAGTAAAATATACTCGTGTGTTAAGTGGATACTAAACCATGAAACTCGCCCCAAATAAACAAGTTATATTTGGTAAGAATCGAGAATATATTTAAGGGGCTCTTTTAACGTGGACGGCAAGGTTGACTCGGCTTACAAAATCGAACTTGAAGAAAGATTTAACGTTTCGATACTTAGCGTGGTAGATAAGAAATGATCAAAGCCTTTATTGCAGGACAAGTGGCACTTGGTAATTGGACATTTTTTGTTTTTTCGACGTTAACCGTTCCGATGGTATTTCTTTCTCTATTCAACAATGATAATAGTCCGAGAAAGCATATCGAGATAATCAATGCGTACGTGGGGCGTTTGGTACACGTCATATCTTCACATGACTATAATAGTAGGTATAGTAGTGGCCGGCTCATACTGATTTTGTTTTTTTTTTGACAAATATTTAAATTTTATTGACATGGAAGCGATTACAACATACTTACATCATTGGAAATCAAAAGTGAAGGCAAATAAATGCTCCTGTTGGCAAGAGTATCAGTCAAAAAATTTGCCTCAATGTAAACATGGTTGAACGAAATCTTTAAAGAATTTGTCAAATCTAGAGTTTGACATCAAATGGATCTAAATTCTCAAAGTAGTCTTTGCTCGTTTTTACACCATTTAATTACATTTATAAAGTATCCTTTTACCGCACAATATACCCCCAAATCTTTGTCTTTGAAAGTCTTTAGACCTTGAAGAACCGCTTCAAATTCAGCATGATTGGCAGTTGCTGAACCCAACGTGCCAGCATACAAGAAAACCACCACGCCATTCCAATCCCTAACAACTCCTCCTATACCAGCTTCACCCAGGTTACCAACATAACTTCCATCAAAATTGAGTTTGAAACACCCTTGCAGTGGAGGGGTCCATCTACCTACCGGCCAGCTTTTAACAACTTTTAGATGAAACAAGTTAAGAAGATTAGGCAATACATCCACTTCCAAAACACCCCAACTCTCTTTAGTAACAACTAGACAACTATAACGATAGTGATTT